GAAACTACTTACTTCATACTAACCAATGACTCTGAACTTTGCAGCACTTCAGACTTTGTCATTGGGACAAACAAAAAAAGGATTCAAATGACAAAACAGGATTTGTCTTACAATTTATCTTTTCAACAAATAAAATAAGCATAGCCAAACAAATTAAAGGTGCATTAAGTCACTGGTTCATCTTTGTTGGGTGATATTGATGTTAATGGTGTGTATGCATTAAGTTTTTTAGAACTTGATCTGATCTGAACATGGCAGATCAAAGTAAAACAAATACATATAAACCATCTTAAACACACACACACACACACACATATATATATATAATTTCTTCATGTATAACACTTTAGTAATTAGAAGAAAAATAGTGCACCTTTAACAGAACTCAGTAAGTAAAGCTTTATTTATATAGCACCTTTTAAAACAGTATTTACAAAGTGCTTTACAGAGAGAATAGACATGTACATATGCATTCACAAAAATTAAACAAAACGGAAACATCACCACATAGACTGCTAGCTATTTCATGTTAAGCTAGCATTAAAACATGGTTGTTTTAGATTTATGGTGTCATGTCAGTAACAAAAATCTAAAAGTCATTTGTGCTTACTAATAAAGTTCCACATGAGTGGAATCACATACATTCTAGTGTATTTAAATATATATATATATATATATATATATATAACCTTTCTCCTTTCTCGAACAAGTATGCGTTTGCTTAGACGATGTTTAATCGTACCATGATGTATCACATAGTACTGTATATAATAATTTTCATTTATAAATCATTAACAAACATTATATAATGCTTAAAAGATCATTAGTTATATATTCACATAGCTAGAAATATGAGATAATGTTCTTGTTAATGTTTACTATGAACTTACTTAACATTACCTAATGGTTAACATATGATTACTTGATGTAAATTGAAATGCTTACAAATGTTAGTAAACTTTCAGTTCATAATCTTCATTTGTTGGTCTTTGTTTGTTGTGTAGATCTCTATTTCATGTGTATGACCTCTATATCTTAACAAATAATCTAATAATTATTGGTTCATGTTTTTGCAGTACCCAATCTAAAGTAGAAACTATTCATCATTTGCAAATGTTTATAAATGTCTACTAATCATTAATACCTTTATGAGCAGTCATCTCAATGGCAAAAAGTGTCCCGAAAGACCCGAATTTACCCTATTCACACTAATCATTTATTAATCATTTGTTCATCTTTTTGCAGTAGCCAATCTAAAGTTGAAACTATTCATCATTTGTAAATGTTTATAAATGATTATAATCATTTAGTATCTTTATGGGCATTTTAGTGAATGTAACAAGGTTTGTGTAAAGGGTGGCTGGTTAAGTTTAGCTAAATGCTGGCTAAAGACATAACAGATTGTGATTTTGATGCAAAAAAAAGTTTTTATTGCCTTAACACTCACATTAGTATACTACTCTTCAGTATATCATTAAACAGGATATACCTTGAATCATAAATAAACGGGAAAACAAATGATTTTTTTTTTAAAGAAAATACTATTTATCAAAACAATATAATATACACAGACTGAACTGCATTCCCTTATAATAATCAAATTAATCCCTGGACACTGTTGTCATCATCAAAATGAAGGCGGCACACTACAAAGGCTCAGACAGACACTGTAGAAGCAAAACAACACCTCGCCGTGGTCTCAACTGATTTTCCATGACAAATAGATGTTAAAATTGTATTCTTAAATGCTTGCCATTGGATATTGAAAGAGAAAAAAAAAATCAAATCATATCCTTCAGCTGGTTGGTTGGTCATTGTTGTTTTTGTTTACTTTTAATGGCATGTCAGCAACAAGCAGTTGGTCAGTTGCTGTTCATATGATATATACAACCTTGTACTGTACACAAATTGACATTTCCATTCAGTTGTGAGAACAGGAATTGTAAAAAATGTATGACAACAGGAATTCCATGAATTGATTTGATCCATTTCCATGATTTTATTCACTTCCAGGCATGGAAATCACAATTTTAAAATTCACATTAAAAATCACGGATTTCCACAAAGTCATCTACTTATCAGTTTGGAACATGCTTATACCTTTGTCAAATGCCTTTCCCTTATTTCAACGCTGAAAATCATTAAAACCAGAATAGCTGAACAATCAACAATAAAATTAAATAGAAAATGTTGAAATGTAAAACAGTTCACAAAGCCAGGAAAAAACAAAACAAAAATACAGCAGACAAAAACGTATTACATTCATGGCATAAAACATAAGATTGCACATTTTCACCAAATATAGCAGCACCTGACTTATATATGAACAAACTTCTATTAAGATCTAAAACCTATAAAAAACATTGTGCAATCAAAGTAGTTTAATGTACAGGCTCTGTAAATCTTCTCATCTGTACCATCTTTTACAGCTAAAACATCCTGCAGTTTGAAGAAAGACCAAACATATCACAGCTTGATAAGAGTGTACCATAAATTTACAAAAGAGGTGTCAGAAATGTCCTCCACTACGCCACAGAACGATGCTCCCCGCACACATAAACAGCACTGGGGCGGATACGTCTCTTAGTGTGGCCAGGAAGCTGCGGCAGGAACTTGAAGTACTTGGGCATCAGGTCAAGGCAGGCGTCACGGAACTTCTTGATTCGCCAGTAGTAGATGAGAGGATTCAGGGCTGATTTGAGGTAGCAGGTCCACAGCAGCCACGTGCTGATCTCAAAAAAGTTCTGCCGGTAGTAGAACGCACGACTGAAGGTGGACAGCAGGCTGTAGGTGGCGAACGGAGCCCAGCATGCGGTGAAGACTGAGAACAGAATGAGGATCGTGGTGAAGGCACGTGTTTTGAAGCTCATGTCAACATTCATCTGAAAGGGCCTCTGCAGACTCATCAGACCCAGCTTGCTGGCCTGGCTGAGGCACACCGAGTCGGGGTGGGAGTGGATGCGCAGCGCGTTGTGGCGGAGAGTACTCAAGATGCCCATGAACGTGTACAGCATCACCAGGAACGGAACAAAGAAGAACATCAGCATAATGAGCATCACGTAAGCATGGTAACCACGCTCCCCCGTGTAGCCGAAAACACACTGTGGTGCTCTGGGGGGAATGTACAGGGCAGGATGGCCAATGGAAAGCGGGAAAGAAAAGCAGAAAGATAGAGACCATGAGACCGCAATTAACACTTTGGCCCGGCGTGGACTAAGCTTGTCCTGCTTTTGCACAATGATTAGGAAGCGATCCACGCTGATGATCATCAAAATAGCTACTCCCTCCATCAGGAACATCCAGAAGAACATAGCCGACATGCGGCAAAACGCCTCTCCGAAGATCCAGCGTGTGGTCAACATGGTGACTAGCGCAAAGGGCATGTTGAGGACTGCTAGCATCATATCAGCAAAGGCGAGACTGGCCAGCAAGATGTTAATAGCGGAACGCATAGCGGCTCTCTGGTAAACCATGAGGCAGACCACCATGTTTCCGAGGAAGGCCAGCAGCAGCACGCAGATGATGACCAGGCAGAAGAACACCTGAAGGGGCAAGTTCAGGCCCTGATCAGGGTCCTGCCAAACAGTTGAAGGCGTTATGTATTCCGATAGAGTCAGGAACTCTAACGAGCTGTTGAGTTTTGCGGAGGAATTCTCCATGACTCTTGTACCCGCTGGCTGGGTCAGCACCTTGGGCGTGGGGTGCAGGGTGGCGCTAGGCTCCCCTGAAGCCACAGGTGGACTAGTGGAGGAATAAAGCATTCTTCTTTTTGCAGTTACATGGTAAAGAGAGCAAGCTCAGCCTATCGGACAGGTCGCTAGCACACATCTCAGCATGGAGGCAGACCCTGTGGAAGCAGAAAAAAATTAGGAATTAGAAAATCAGTCATGCAAGAATGTCACAAACAATCAGGTTTAACAATCAGGCTGCAGGTTTAAAGCTTAATTTGAGGAAGCCATTCCCAGATAGCTTTGTTTTTGCCAGAAACTGCCAGCTCGCAGTGATGTCCGGCTGCTTTGTCTGGGTGAATTGCTGGCAGTGTGAACCCTGCTTGACAGTGAATATTGACAATGTGACAAAGTTGAACAAAACTGTGAGTTTTTTAGTGTTCTCTGGGCAGCAGTCTCCAGAGTTGGAGTCTGTACTTGACTTTAAGTGTGTTGTTAATTTACTGTCCACCTTAATCCCAAAATATACTTTGGTTTGTATCAGGCATACATACAGTGCAAGTGCTGTAAATTTCATTATCAGCACAGTATCCAGGGGCCTCATTTATCAACAGTGCATAGAAAAGGTTCTATATTTTGTCCTTGTACTTAAATGTAGGAATGTGTGTAAATATAAGTTGGCCCAGATTTTTCAAACCACGCATACACTGTACATTTAGCTCACATAGGCACCATCTGCATTTTGCACTAATTACTACATCCACAAGATGGCAACACTGTCCCGGTCCTTTATTGTACAGAAAACAGATGAGATGGTACAAAAACAAAGATTGCCAGATTGGGCGGATCTCTGCCCGATTGGGTGGTTTTGAATTTGATTTAGGGTAGGGTGACCATACGTGCCATTTTTCCCGGACGCGTCCTGGCCAGGATTTCTATATTGCCTAAAATATCTAGGTTTTGGCTTTGTTTGCGTGTGCAGACCGATCGGTGTATGACATCAAAATACCATACAGACGGTTCCTTATGCTTTTAAAATGCTCTCGAGATACAATGATGTCAAACACTGATCGATCAGAGCTGCTTTTAAGTCGAACACACATCCTATGTACGCGTAATTGCATCGCTTTGACCGTAGATCCCACCTTCTCACACACACCATGATTGGTCCATTATGTACAATGCCTGCATGTTATTGGTCAAACTACTTTTCGATCATTACCTTCAGCAAGCATGAAAACAGGAAAAAACAAAGCCAAAACAAATCCTGGCAAGGACACGTCCGGGGAAAATGGCACGTATGGTCACCCTAATTTAGGGTTGTGCCGATAGATAGGGTTGGGTACCAAGAACCGGTTCCAAATTTCCAATAATCGGGTATTCGATAAGACATGTGCATTTCGATTCCGCTTAACGATTCCCGCGTTCGCATTTTAATGTGATTTTAAACTATTTAAGTGCAGGAAGGGAAAGAACTTGCACACTGTTTGCGTGCAGCGCACACATCTGAAGCGCGAGCACAGAGAACAGTGGTCCTGATGCAGGTTCCTGACCTGTGTCCGTTCTCGAACTGTTCCGTGCATTTCCACAAAGGTTGTTCCGGGCCAGAACTGACTTCTCTTTCACATTTATCGACCAGTATGCACGAAATACCTCAGTATATCATCATAAACACAGCTGTTTTTTTTGTCTTATGTGAATGTAAACAGATGAGAAAGAAAACGCATGTGTAACAGTATTTTTAGATCTGTGTGTGCTCGGTGTTAAAGAGACAGCCGTCTAATAAACGTGCTGCCTAACATTAATGTTAATCAAAGAACAAAAGAAAATCATTGACTGAATATCTTTCGTAAATTTAATGAGGATTAATCAATATTTTATTTATGAAAAGAAAACTATACAGTGTTTTTAAACTTTTGATTTCAATTTCTGTACCTGACATTTGTTCAGTTTTATTTATTTATGCTATTGCTAATTAATTTGTTTACTT